CTCAATACCAGGGCCCAGACAGCGAAGGTGATGTACGTCGTTCCATTGCCCGCAAGTGGGAAAGTTCGAGGCCAGACGAAGGTGATGTTCGCTGTTCGATTGGCCGCAAGTCAGAAATTTCGAGGCCAGGCGAAGGTGATGTGCACCCTTCCATCGCTCGGCAATCGCATGCAGGCCACGCCCAGCGTGCCAGCCGCCATGGAAAGGAAGTGCGACTGGATTCTCTCCTTCGGCCAGGAAGTCAGACTATGGCATGGGCGATGCAGGCCGACGAGCTTCTCGCCGCAGCACCCGGCTATCCGAAGGTTCTGAGCAGCGAATGTTGTCCCAGCCGCCGGTGTCACCGGACTCCGAGGGGTCAGGGCTATTCACTGGTGATGGTCAAAACGGCTTTCAACGCAAATCGGAGGTCCGTCATCCGGAGCGACCCACCGAACTGACACTCGTTCTTGATGCAGACAACATCGACGAGATGAAGTCCATCGTCTGGAAATTCACAGAGCAAGGGGCGTGCGTGAAGGCCCTCAACAAGTACTGCTGCCCCAAGGCTACGCCAGAAGACATTCGCGCTGGTAATATTTTGATGTTCGTCAGTGAAGAGTTTGTCTTGGACAAAGAAAAGAAGGTCACCCAGCGAATTTGGAAAGATGAGCAGCTGGAAAATCAGTTCCTCACTCTGCGTTTCCGGGCGTGGGGATGAAGGTGAGGCAAACTGCCTGGTCGTTAGCAATTCCGGGGACTGGCCTCCGGCACTGCAGTACGCACAGCAGTGACAGTGAATCCAGTGACCTGGATGGTTGATGCATCTTGCTAAGGGGTGTCTGTTAACGACGCGAAGGCCATATGTGCCTCCAATGCCAACGCGCTTTTGCCCCGTACCAGAACCCTCGCCCAGGCTTATCCGAGGAGTGCTGAAACCCAAGCCAAGCCCAGGCCCGAAAAACCCTGCAAGAGCCCAGGCGTCAATCAGGCGCAGACTTTGCGCTTCTGCAAACGCAACGTGCTGGAAGTGAAGAAGGCGACAGCGGCGTCCCGAAGTCGAAAGCTAAAGTGCTGCCGTAGAACCTTAAACCCTCCCCTAAACCAGGCACCGAGAGACCGCGCCCTGGCTTGTCCGAGTTGTGAGAGCAAGCCCTACTGTATAAGCCTCTAAAGCATTCTAAAAAAAGCCATTTTACAGCGAGGCAGTCTTCTGAGAGTCGAAAGCTTTCGTGGACCTCGCCTGATTCTGTCAGGACCAGGTGCGATGCAAGCTCTGCTACCCGACTGCGAAGCTAGGTTTTTTGGTGGGTTGTAGGGTTTAGGATTTGCTGAGCTGGTGCTTGGGGTTGAGGGGCATGAGGGGCCCTCCGAAGACGTCAGGGGTACCGAACCGCGAAACCTTCCTCCTCCCATATCCTGCTGTTGAGGGTGTCTCTCGTTCTTCCGCCCTGTATGCTCCCTGCGACGCCGAGCCGGATGGCTTGCTGAGAGATTCGGAGGCTGTCCCATGGAAACCTTACCTCGCGCCTCGAAACAAGCTCTCCGCCTTAGGATTCTAGGCCCTGGGCCCCTCCGCAACGCTTCCCATCAATTTCTCTATGCAAGGGCCTTGGCAAAGGTTTCGGTAACCTGCTCCAACCAGTCTGACGGTTAACCCAACTCTCAGAGAGGTTGGAAGGGGCTTGGGCTCGGAAACCCAAGCCCTTCTATCCCAGGGCGCCCCTTTTTCCGACGAGCTCAGGCTACAAGACGCTGCCCAATACCTTTGCATGCGAGGAGCATATCGTCAAGGAGCATGAGGCCCCTCTCAGCTTGGGGTCTTCGAGTTTGTGAGGCTAAGGCTCTCGTGTTTGGGATAAGCGTCGCCGGCAGCAGGACGACTTTCAGAAGGAGCAGAAAATCTGGGAGCGCTTCCTCTTCACTGTCTGCAAGAGGCAACCGCCTTTCGGGTGGCAGTGCCCCTTGGACAGCAGACGATGGCGTTGGCTAAATGTCCCATCATGCCCCAAAAGGTTCTTTAAGCCCCCAAACCTGGAACTGCAAGCGCCGACCAGCACATATTGGACCTCGCCTGGCTGGTCCGAGTTGTGAGAGCGTGGCCTATGGCCAGTGGAATGCCACTCTTTTCGAGCCCACGGCATGAAATTTGTGTGTGTGTGTGTGTGAGAGCCCT